TTTTTCTGGTTCCTTCTCATTTGAGTAGACTATGTCAGAAGGAAGATCTGGGTCTTGAGGGCTGCTGTTCAGATTCTTTTGTCCCACTGGGTGCTCCGTTGATGTGGTGTTCTCTCATTTCCCCTAGGAATGGGGCTTACTGAGAGCTGAACTACAGTGACTGTTATTTCTTTTCTGGCTCTAGCTGCCCAGTGAAGCCATAAGGCTCTGAGTTGATACTGGAGAATGTTTGCAAAGAGTCCTGTGATGTGATCCATCTTTGGATCTCTCAGCCATGGATACCAGCACCTGCTCTGGTGGAGATAGCAGGGGAGTAAAGTGGACTGTGTATGGTTCTTGGTTGTATTTTTGTTAAGTGTGCTGGTTTTATATTGGTTGGACTCCAACCAGGAGGTGGTGCTTTTAAGAGGGCCTCAGCTGTGGTTGTATAGGGAGGATACAAGCTTGTCCTAGAGTCACCTTGGGATAAGTATTTGGGTTTTTCAGGTGGCAGGCAGGGCCATATAACCCCCAAGAGATTACGTCCTTTGTATTTCCTCAGCTGTCCCACAGAACCTTCAGTGGCAATCTACCTCCTTCAAAGGGTCTGTGGATTTTCTTAGCTTTCCTGAGATATGTTCCTGTGGTAGGTCTTGGAGCAAAAATTCATGATGTGGGTCTCCACAGGCTGCTCTGTCAGAGCTCCCAGTTAGTCTTGCCTCCTATTTGCCATTTTCCCCAGGACTTCTTTGCCATATTACTTAGTTTCTATCATGGTTTTTCCTCTCATGTATTTTTTTCTTTTTGGTTTGGGTAATTTATATTTTCCTTTGAATACACATTTCATTCATATCTTCAAAGTTACTCATTGTTGAACGAAGTGTTCTTTTGTGTATCTTTGGATTTCCTTGCATTTGTGTTTTCTCCTTTTTTCATTCCTAATTTTATAATTTTGTACTTTCTACATTTTATTTTTGACTCATATCCTGTATCTTTTTAAAAAAATTTATTTAAGTTGGATTTCACTTTTCTCTGGTGTCTCCTTGATTAGCTTAATAATGATATATTAAGCTGACATGATATATTAGCCATATTGAATTTTTTTCTCTGAAGAATCTGCTTTTAAAACATTCTATTTGTTTACCACCAATTAATTTTTTCTTGAACTTTTAAAAAATTTTTATGTTTTAATCATTTTGAATTTTTTCTAGTTCTAATTTGTAATGTTATTTTTAAAAGATATTTAACAATTACAGCTAAATCTATTAACTTTGACCCAATAGTTAATTGAGATGTTTTTCTCCTGATTTTCAAAGATTTGACTTTTCTGTTTCTACATTTGCTACTTATTCGTTTTATTGTATTGCCATCTTAGAATGTGGTTTGTATTATAATAGCTTCTTGGAATTTATTCCTGAAAGATGTTAATTTTTATACATGCACTATAGCAATCTAGAAAGACATAATTTTAATTATTCATATATTTTATATCCTTACATTTTATATACTTTATCTGTCAAAGATTGAAACAGGTGTACTTGAACCTTTTTATTACTTTTATATTTTTGTCAGTTTCTTTTATTTTCCTATGATTTTCCTTTACAAATATTGATGCTTTGTTATTTGATTCCTAATGGTTCATGACAGTATAATCCACATGGACTGCAGCCTTCATCATCATTAAATGACTGCTTCTGTCCCTATGCAATGCTTTTGACCTTGAATTCAACTTTGTCTAATAGTAGTGTCACAACTCCTGTCTTATCTCCATTCAGATTTCTGCTCCAGGTTAGAAAGTTGGGTTGGGGAAAACAGAAGTGATGTAGCTGCCCATCTATCTCTCAGCCCTGCCTGCATTGTTTCCTCTTGTAGTGGAAGAACAGCTTCCTGCAGGGTTCCCCTGCTTCTTCCAGGCCCACCTAAGCCCAGTGTTTCTATCTCTCCTAGGTGAGCCCTTGAGATCCCTCTTATTTTTTCAAGTTTTATAAGCACTGGGGATGCACTCATGAATGAAATACAGACACTGAGTCTTAAAGTCCTCTCACTTTATTGGAGACAGAGGACAAAGTCACAGTGCAGAAAAATAAGAGTTACAATTGATGCAAATTCTGCTTTGTGTAGTTAGATGCTGTGGGACTCAGACAAGGAGCACTTTTTCAATCCAGTCTTCCTGAGGAGGTGACATGAGGTGACATATGGCCTGAATAGGAGTTAGCCAGGAAAATGATGAGGAATATGTGGGTATAAAAGATAGGATAATACAATCAGAATCTTGGAGATTGGTATTAATATTCACTCTTCACAGAGAAAGTAGTAGAGTTTCAAAGAAGTGATGTACTTAGGCCAATATAAGAGTTAATAAATAGGTGGTCAAGACTTGAATCCAGGGTTATGTCTTTCTAACCCTAAAGTCTGTGTTTTTCTCTCTAGTGTGTCACTTGCCCAAATACATTTTTCTCTCAGTCATGTTCCATTTCCTCACCCTCTTTATGTGTTTGTTTCTAGCTATCACACTCTTCTCTAGTGACAAGGCTTTCATACAGAGGAACAAAAATGACTGACACTAGTTAGTCTAAACTACTTTCTCTCCAAAGAGATTTGTGTTTTAATTATGTAAGTTAGAAGCTGAAAGAATACAACTACTGCAATGGAATTCCATTCTTTGTTCAGAGAGGGAGATTTCAGCGTTGCCTTGTCAATGTCTGATAAGTTTCACCACTTGAGCTGAAAGTTGTGAGTCTGAATTGAAATCTGACCTTGTTCTGAGCATCTCTCTTTTTCCTTGGATTCCTATTCTTGGTGTCACTTTACTCACACCAATTCCCAAATTCTTTGTACAAGGAGTCTCCGACTCATTTCCTTTATGACTGAAGTCATGGAAGACCTGGCTCTCTGGAGGAAGGTTCTAATAGGAGACATAGGCTGCAGTAGATGAGAACAAAATTTTTCACCATTTATACTTTTCTAAAGCCGCTCTCGCTTATGTTCTGGTTCCTCTTTCATTTCCAGGTCTTATGGGGATCATTTTCCTTGGATTTCTGGGCTGTCCTTGTCTAAAAATATTTTCAGAGTGTGGACCTGCTTAACTTACTAGTGTCAGGAAGAGGCTGCGATGGGATTGGGCTCTGTATGACTGTACTTTTCTGAATTCACACTGCCCTCTCAGCCTACATCTTTACACCTCTTTGTGGTGGGGGCCCTCTGAGGCCTTGAATCTGATTGTTCACTCCTCTGGGGTTCATTTGCAGTTTGGGCTAGAAAGCAAGGACTTTGCCTTAGCCTTGTGTATTCCCAGTTTCAGGGAGACAGGTGGTCTTGCCAGTAGCCTGGTCAGTGAATGCTATCTTGCTCACAGGCATTTTATTCTGTGGCTCAATATTTAGTGAGCTCTGCTCATTCAACATTTTCATATCCACCCTAGGGATTCCAATTCCAATGATTACTGTTTTGAAACTCAGGGATTCCCTAACACTTGGCATGACTTATTCTTAACTTTCCGTATGTATTCATTTATTCAATCAAACACATACATGCTATCTTGGAAAGCTGGAGTGTGCCTAGGGTGTGTTAGCTACTTTAAGAAATGTAAAAACAGAGGTTCTTTATCACATCGTTCAGTTTGTACTTTTGTCTTTGCTGAGTGTATTTTTCAAACCCAAATAAGGGTGTACAGTGGGCAGTCATGGTTTTATGTTTTGTTTTGAAGTAAAAGAATACCTAATGAAGACTTGCTTAAGCGGGGGAAAAAAGGGTTTTTTTAAGTTCTGGGATATATGTGCAGATCATGCAGGATTGTTGCATAGGTTCATACATGGCAATGTTGTTTGTTGCCTCCATCCACCCATCACCTATACCTGGCATTTCTCCCCATGTTATCCCTCCCCAACCTCCCTACCCCTCCGTCCCTCCCTATTCCCCCACAACAGACCCCAGTGTGTGATGCTCCCCTCCCTGTGGCCATGGGTTCTCATTGTCCAACACCTGCCTGTGAGTGAGAATATTGCAGTGTTTGATTTTCTGTTCTTGTGTCAGTTTGTTGAGAACGATGGTTTTCAGATTCATCCATGTCCCTACAAAGGACACAAACTCATCGTTTTTTATGGCTGCATAGTATTCCATGGTGTATATGTGCCATATTTTCCTTGTCCAGTCTGTCATTGATGGGTATTGGGGTTCAGGTCTTTGCTGTTGTAAATAGTGCTGCAGTGAACATATGTGTGCATGTGTCCTTAGAGTAGAACGATTTATAATCCTTTGGATATATACCCAGTAATGGGATTGCTGCGTCAAGTGGAATTTCTGTTTCTAGGTCCTTGAGGAATCGCCACACTGTCTTCCACAATGGTTGAACTAATTTATACTCCCACCAACAGTGTAAAAGTGTTATTTCTCCATATCCTCTCCAGCATGTGTTGTCTCCAGATTTTTTAACGATTGCCATTCTAACGGGCATGAGATGGTATCTCAGTTTAAGTCCATCACTGTGGCTAGAAAAATGCAGAGTGCCAATTGGCTTAGACTCAAATTACATGTTTCCCTTTACAGCTGGGCATGTATGGCATTGAATGGCATTAACTCATTCAGATTACATGGGTTGAAAATGAGAGGGGGTGGTTCCCAAGAGAAAGACTGGGATAAGGTACCAGTGCAATGGCAAAGGGATGGTGGGAGGCCAAAGCTACAGATACTACTCCATGCCTACTCTGACCAAGAATTTTTGACTTCTGAACATACAGTCAGATTGAAAGAAGTAATATGATGCCAGTGTATTGTCATTTCTGGAACATATTTTTGGGGCAATGTAAGTTTGTCACAGAAAATCAGTGATTTATGGTCACAGAACTGCTGTCTCAGTCTTGATAGTCTTTATGATTATTTGTTAACAGCTGCCAGGAAAAACCAACAGAGAAAAAGGTGTTTCACCCAGTCTGGATACCATTGACAATTTTGAGATACATTGTTTTGAAAACTTATTTATTATATGTGCTAAGTACCTCTAAATTGCTTTCAACATTTTCTAGAGAATTATGAACTTCTCTGAAGGCTGCCAACAAAATGTCAAGTCAGTCCACTGACAGAAAGGAAGAGAAACCTTGGAAAAAACATTATTGCTTATGTTCCATCTGAATCTGAGCAGCTGACCTGACGAAGGAGGTAAGAGAAAATGAAGAAATGATATGCTGAATAAACCCTTTACTAATGGTTTTAGAGGGGAGGATTCTACCTTCATCACTCTGACTCTACAGGAAACACCGATAGCTTCAAAGACATTGGAATGCCTTTGCTTATAGAGAAAAACTTACAGAATGAAAAACAGACCTCAGCATAAATTTTCTTGAGCAATGTTTACTAACAGACTTGGGTTAGCCAAATGAGTCCTCAAAAAGCTCTTAAAAGTTTTAGGAAAGCAAACAATTTATACATATTTTAGGGCAAATACAGAACAATAAAGTTGTGCCAGGACAGTGACCTGACATTGTTGGGAGAGACAATCATGCTGCTTATATTAGAAGTCAAAGCAGTGGAGAAATGTTATAGATAAGTAGAAGCCATAGAATTCAAGAGCTTCTAGGGAAACCTCTATTCCAGTGAATGCAGAGTCTCAATACTAACAAAGGTATTTGAGCAAAATCATAAGAGACAACAAAACTGTGGTAAACTCCCAGAATATAGAGATAGACCTTTAAACTGTGAGATGGCTTGTCCCTTGGGGCCTTGAGTGGTAAAATTGCAAGGTCAAAAGTTTTGTGCTATTTATTTTGCTTGCATAAGTTAAATTAACATGATGTATTACTCTTTGGAAGGATTATTTGCCAAAAGGCCAGTGGTTATTTTGATGGTTCTGAGATCTCCTAAGGGATAAGCTTGGGGACCTAAATGGCTAAGGATGAAATAAGTGGAAGAGACTAGTGGTCTTTCTGATCCAAAGTTGTAAGGCCCAATGAACCAATTGAGTTTTACCTTCCTTTTCTCCTTTTCCCTTGTCCTGTGTGCTTACACACAAATTTTAAGACAACATCTACCCCAAAATTGCCTCAACCAAAAAATGCCTGAGTGGTAGGTTGAAAAGGAGAGCTCTGTTTTTGGTATTCAAAACCCTTTCCTTTTATGTTTTGGGTGCTTTTCCTTGGAATAACCTTTCCTCGTCTTTGAAGAGGTGAACTTTAGAAAGGAAGGCTTACAGATGGCTTTGATTATAGCTGCCTCTCAGGTAAAAGAAGCCCTCTGCATGGTTTATTCTAGATTACTGGGGGCTAGAGTGGAATGGAGGCCACAGTTTTGTTCATGGTAATACATAGGGATCTCTTCAGGATGTTGTTCCTGGTATATGACACTATAGGGGAGGAAAGAGAAATGGAACAGGTGACTGTGCAGAAGTGGATTCTGAATTTTGGTATCCTTGAACCAGACAAATTTAGCTGTTTCCATCACTCATAATCATCCTAGGTAGAATTTAAACTTAGATCAATTTGACTTCAAAGCTCATTCCTTTTCTTTGAAATATTTTCTACTCAGAAGCAGTCTCAAGGAGGACAGGGAGAATTTAGAAAGGCAGAGGTGTTGGGAAAGAAGACTCAAGTGAGGGCAGAAGAACAAGGAAAGGTGTAAGGACGAGAAAACATTGGGTTACTAAGGATGGAACGTAGCAGTAGTGGTGGTGGTGGTAGAGTAGTTTGGACCTTTGGTGCTCTGGAAATGGTGACTCTGGGTATAGTGGTAACGGAAAACTGATAGTGGAGAAATCAAGACCAGGAAGGGACCCTGTCTTTGGAAGGTGGATGGAAGTCTGAGGAGTTTGAGCAGATATAGGACATAGTAGCAGCAGAATGTTAGGGGCAGGAACCTTGTGGCTGCTGTGGTCAGCAGTGACTGATTTTCTTGGACTCTTTAATAGACATATCAATCCATCAAGCTGCAATTTCATTTTTGCATTGGAATTACATTTCCAATCCAATTCCTCTGCTGTTGGCATTTCCTCTGTCTTAGGGGCTGTGGGCCTATGACTGAAAAGGTGCAGCTGGCATTCCCCCTCACTCGGCACTGTCAGTTGGCACAAGTTAAGAGTACAAGGGCTCTTGGTGGATGTCTCAGAGTTCCTGCAGTCAAATTATGGCCAGATTATGGCCTTTAGATTGAGCCACAAGTGTGAGAGGTTCTACAAATAGAGGAAAGCAGGTTTAGAAAGAAAAAGTGGTTCCTTATGAGCTGATCTAATCACAGATGAGCAAAGAAAGCTCCTGGAGGCTACAAAACACGCTGGATAGTAAATAAGGAACAGAATTTCCACAAAATAAACTGCCTCCAGCTCCCACTCCTTGGTTACCCTTAGCTCTTTGGGGCTAGTTTGGTAATGATGTGTTCAGTTCCCAAGAAGTATAATGGAAAGGAAGAAGGCAAACTGGTTAAAACAAATGACTCATGTGACTAAAATGTCTAGAGGTAGAGGGTGCAGTCTTTTGGCACATTCTGACCAGGGCTCTGGCTCCATTTCTCTGGCATTCTTTGTGTTCTGCCATTTTGAGTCAGTTGCATTCCCAGAGTGTCTTGCCTTAGAGTTCAATGGTTGCAGCAGTCCTAGGCTTTACATCCACATACATTCCATTCAGAGAAAGAGATATTTTCTTTTCCAAACCATCAAAAGTCCTGAATTTTATTCTACTTGAACCAGTTATTCTGTTGAGGAGGATGATATGCTGTAGGACTTGTGGGCCCAATGTCAGGAATGGGATTGATAGATCACCCTCACTCAGAGCCTGTGCCTGCTACACAATAGATGGTAAGAGATAGATGTTGGAGGAGAGGGCAGCCAGCAGTGTCCTCTCCAGAGTCATCAAAGCAGTGGACAAGTGTATCCATGCAATGGTGAGTATGTGGAAGAGGACAAAGAAAACATGTTACTGCAATAATACAGATCTGGGGCCATACCTGGAATGGGTATAGCATTGCAACAGAAATGCTATAGAATGCACAACCCATCGTTCTTTTTAAGGTTAAGGAACTGCCTTATAAATATAGTACCAGAAATTTGTATTGAATACTTGGTCCAAATGCTATAAAGTATTGTTTCTAAATGTGCTACTTGCTCAAAACAAAATACCATTGAGTATTTAATGGCATTTTACTGAGTACTTAAAGTGAATAACAAAAATTTACTATGAAAACGAAGTATGAAAATAGTTAACATTTTTTTCTTTCTCTCCCCACTTCTCTTTCTCTCTCTCTTTTATCCATAGAAATATACCATTGGCAGCAAAGGCAATGATTACAGAGTCATCTTCTCTATGACATTTTCATAGCTTTGCCAGAGAAGTAGGTTGATAGATTGATGTATAGATGGATGGATGAATAGAGGGCTAGCTGGTGGGTAGGTGGCAGATAGATGGATAGATAAAGCAAATTTTCTGCCTGTATCATATTTTTCCCAGTGATCTTGACAGAAGTTTTTGGTTGCTTCACTCTTGGTGGGACGCAAACCAAGAGTTGATTTACATTAACTAGCTTGATGCTAGCTAGTAACCCACTCAAACCAGAGCATGTCTCTATGGAAAAATTAATTTGAAAACTAGCTCTTTTTCTAGCTCTTTTAATCTTGATGGTGATTTGACTCAGGTAGGACAACTCATTGCATCAACTCCAGCAGAAGGAAGAGAGGACACACAGCTCTCTCATTCCTTCAGTGGGTGGAGAAAGTCAGGAGAGTCTTCTCTTCTTGCAGGTGTGGAGAGACTTCCTTTCTTTGAGGGAGTCAAAATGAGAGGAGTTTGAGATGGTTGGATTGTTAAGTTCCTTTAGTTCAGTGTTTATGACATTGGGATATAATCATCAGCAGTAGCAAAATAACATACCTAAAGAGACAGGACTGAGATTGTCCTGGGGTCAGAACAGCACAACAAATCACCCAGACTATGATCTTTCACAGTTTGTAGCTTTTGGGTCTAGTAAAAGACATGGCTGCTTTTTTTCTGGTCTGTGGAAAGGCTTTGTGGAAAGAGGCACCTGGGTTCCCAAATCTATCTTTCACTGATCTCTCTCAAGGACTGAAATTTCATTTCAAATGAAAACTTAAAAAATAATTTTTTAGATGCAGATACCCAGACTCATTTGATCTTTGATCACTTGTTTCAGCTCAAAGCTTATCCTTTCTTCGGTGCAAAGACTCTCTCTTGTTTATTTTATTTCAATTTTCCGCCTTTATTTCAAAAGCCCACTCCCATTCCCTTACTCTGTAGAAGCCCATTCTAAAATAGTTCATATGCATCCTTTCTCTTCAGTTTTCATGTGTTTATTCAAATAAGTCTATTCTTAAAAATATATAATGCAGGCTGGGTGTGGTGGCTCATGCCTGTAATCCCAGCATTTTGGGAGGCTAATGCAAGCAGATCACCTGAGGTCAGGAGTTCAAGACCAGCCTGACCAACATGGCAAAACCCTGTCTCTACTAAAAATACAAAAATAAGCTGGGTGTGGTGGTACACAGTTATAATCCCAGCTACTCAGGAGGCTGAGATAGGAAAATCACTTTAACCCAGGAGGTGGAAGTTGCAGTGAGATGAGGTCATACTATTACACTCTAGCCTGGGAGACAGCAAGACTACATCTTAAAGTGTGTGTGTGTGTGTGTGTGTGTGTGTGTGTGTGTGGTGTGCTTTAATTTGCATATATTGTTCTGTGCTGTAGACCTCATTTTGCTGTTGACTTTTTCTACTCAATATGATTTTTAGGTCTATCCTTGTTGCTATATGAAAATTAAATCATTTTCATTTCTGTACAGTGTACCATTCCATCATAGGAAGATTCCAAAATTGTTTATCCAGACAGAAGGACAACTAGGTTGCTTTCTTCTCTTGCTATCATAAACAGCACAAAGATAAACATTCTTGCATGTTTCTCCTTGTCCTTGGTCTTGTGTAAGAGTTTCTCTCAGAGAAGTATCAAAGAATGGGAATGCTTTCTGTTACTCCTACCTGCCAGATTGACCTCAAACACAGCAACATCAGTTACTCTTCTCTCAGCCAGCCACTGGATAGTGATTGCTTAATTTTTGTCAATAATTGGTTGTTTTGCCATGGTGTCAATTCTTTTGTGTCCCACTGAGAAGGAAGCAACCAGAAACCTGTAGCTGTTGAGATCAGTTATAAAGTATAGTGATTTCT